CTGTTTCTGATGGCATATCATCCCTGTGGGAGCTCTCATCGGGGATCCTTCTCTTGCCTACTTCACCAGCTGTTAATGTCAGCTAATGTTGCTTCACCAGTTTGCCACAGTGCAGCTGCATCTCAGGGACCAGCCAAAGCTTCAACAACTCTGATGTGACTTGCCACGTTTGTAACTTTTCCCCCAGCTCACCTGAGTACAGATGGGATGCATGCACAGCAATAATCCTACTCTGCTTTTTCTCTGTCTAGTTCTTAGTTCTATCATTGGTCTCTTGGTCACAATAATGTAGAAATGGTAAGAACCGTAAAATAAATTGGCAAATTCCTTTTTGCCGTCTTTGAGTTTATGCCCTTGCTTACATAGCTGCTGTAGTAGATTTAAATCCACAGGAAAAACTAACAGGTTGGGACGGCATGAAAAAGTTTTTTGAGTTATTTGCTTCAGAAGTGTTTACACTGATGACCACGCCTTGTGGCTTTAACTCTATTTATGGCAGGTAATTCATAAATAAATGTTTGTGTTGAGATTTAATTATTTTGAAAATATTATTGAAAATTTTGAAGAAGGAAAAAAATGGAAGAATTTCTTGCAATGGTCACTGTAGAAGTTGTATTGAAACTACTACCAGGCACATGAGTGGTTTCTACTGTGGCAAATTGGTGTGGTTGAAAGAATACCCAGAATTTATAAAAGCTGGTTAAGATCTCCCTTTCACAGTCAGGTATATTACTATATTACTATTGGTATACTATTTGAACTGTGCAGGACTTAGTTTCTTCATTGGTTAAATAAAGAATAAAATATTTTTCTTTCTTATGTCAGAGGTGTTTTGAGGGTATCAAATTCACATTGCAATATACAAAATACAAGTACATGGAGTTATATTCTGTGAAAGCTTTGGCAACTGAAATATCTTCTACTTGAGCAGCTAGTTTAACTCAGAAAAAAAAATGGGTATGTTTTCCCAGGGTTTAATATCAAAACTGGGAACACCATATTGGCAGTGGTAAATTCAGTAGTAATTTAGAAAATAAATATATGTAATATATTTAATTATTATATAATTGCTCTTATAACTGCTTATATTCTGCTTTTATAACTGATAAATTAAGAGTTACCATAGAGAGCTTGGATTCCTTGAACATCATCATCAGGAAGCATAAAGTGGCTTTTGCCAGTGTAGGTGTAGATGGGAAACATGAGTGCCCCCGGGTCTTTGGAGTGGTCGAGACCTAAGGAGTGGCCAAACTCATGGGCAGCAACAAGAAACAAGTTGTAGCCTGTAAGAAAAAAAGAAACGATGAGAAGACTAGGTGCTCCAATCACCAGTTAATGAAGGTATATTATTTTCTTCATCTATTTGCTGTATTTCTCTCTTGGCTATTGTATTCTTTCTTCTGCTTTTTAAAATTGATATTCAGTTGCTTGGAGGATGATTCAAAATATTGATTTGATCCTTATAAATAATTTAGTGTTCTATTTGATTATAACCAACTACACAATTAGAATGTCAATAGATTATTCTCATGTAATTAGCAATCAATAAAGATTTACTGTGCAGACTCTAGGAGGTCTGATTTGCTCTTTGTATTCTCAGGTCAGGTGAGGAAAATGGACAGGGATGACCTTAAATAACGAGCGGGGAAATCATGGTGCATGGCTAGGCTGCTGCCTAGAACACCATCCAAACGGGGAGCAGTTTCCAAAGGGTTGATGACCAAGGGTGGAGGATGCACTAAATAGGGTCTCTGGGTATATGCGTGGGAACAAATTCCAACCAAACGACTCTTTGCAGAATATCTCTATACTCTAGAGGTCAGAGAAACAGAAACTCTACACATGATTAGCCATCTTTCCTCTAGAAGACGACTATGTCACTGTATTTACATTGTATCCTCTAGTCAGTCTTTCCACCCATTTCTAACCTACAGATACTGGCATTTTAAGTTGGGGGAAAGCGCACTGCTATAGTGCACCACTTGGGAAGCGCGGCGGCGCTCCCGCCAAGGGTTCGGATCCCACATGCAGACCGGTTC